GCTCACCGTGACTACGAGCTACACTCTCTTGACTTCAGCACTGCTTTCTTGCAGGGCAGCCTGCACGAGGAGATCTGGCTGCGTCGCCCACCTGGCTTCACTGGGTCTTTTCCTCCTGGCACCCAGTGGAGCCTACGGCGGCCAGTCTACGGTCTCCGCCAGGCACCGCGTCAGTGGCACGACACACTGAGGACTACACTTGCGGCTCTTGGGTTTGCTCCCTCTACTGCCGACCCGTCGCTGTTTCTGCGCACCGACACTTCTTTGCCGCCGTTCTACATCCTCGTGTACGTCGACGACTTGGTCTTTGCCACAGCTGACACTGCTGGACTAGCCCACGTGAAGTCGGAGCTGCAGAAGAGACACACGTGCACTGACCTGGGTGAACTGCGCAGCTACCTTGGCTTGCAGATCACTCGGGACAGAGCACGCCGCACCATTACCCTGACTCAGTCACACATGGTGCAGCAGGTCCTTCAGCGCTTCGGCTTCACGTACTCCTCGCCTCAGGCCACTCCTCTGCCTACTCGCCACTCGCTCTCAGCTCTGCCTTCGGATGAGTCCGTAGAGTCGAGTGGCCCGTACCCAGAGCTTGTTGGCTGCCTCATGTACCTGATGACCTGCACACGACCTGACCTTGCATACCCTCTTAGCATTCTTGCACGCTATGTTGCTCCTGGGAGACACAGACCGGAGCACATGGCTGCAGCTAAGAGGGTGTTGCGCTACTTGTGCAGTACGTCGGGCATGGGGCTTGTGCTTGGAGGGCAGAGTCCAGTGGTCCTTACTGGGCACGCAGACGCTTCTTGGGCTGACGACCAGGCTACGCAGCGGTCGTCACAGGGTTACACCTTCAGCCTTGGTTCCGGCTCTGTTTCGTGGCGGGCTACTCGCTCGTCTTCTGTTCTCGGCTCCAGTTGTGAGGCTGAGATCTACGCAGGAGCCATGGCTGCACAGGAGCTTCGCTGGCTCACCTACCTCCTGACTGACCTCGGAGAGTTGCCTCGTTCTCCTCCAGTGCTGTACGTAGACAACAAGGCCATGCTGGCCTTGTGTCGGGAGCAGCGACTGGAGCACAGAACGAAGCACATTGCTCTCCGCTACTTTCTTGCTCGTGAGCTGCAGCAGCGTGGTCAGCTGCGTCTTGCGTACGTGGCCTCTGAGGCCAACACTGCTGATATCTTCACCAAGGCACTTGCGCCTTGTGACCATCAGCGCTTCTGTACTCAGCTGGGCCTTGTGCCTACCTTGCCTCACTTGCTCACCTCTTGACCTTACTTGTACTGTTACATATATATATACCTGCTCTTGTTTGTCTAGCCTTTTTATATATATGTGTACTCCTGCTTGTGAACTGGCCTTGTGGCCTTGAACTTGTGCTCGGAATGTGTGGTGACTTTGTGATCCACCCTGAGCTTGTTTTTGCTTTGCTTTGCTTGACTGGTCTTGTGACCCCTTGTTCTCCCCCACTTTGCCTATGGGGGTGTGTCAGATTTATATGACATAGCTACAGTAGGCTATAGTGGGGTAGCACATATGGGGTACAGTTTTCTAGGGTTTGCTTCTTGTACCCAACTTTCACTTAGTCATTCTCATTCCTCGTTTCTCATCAGTGCTTTCTTAGCGTCAATGTCGTCCTTTTTCTGCTTCAGAAGTATTTCAGCCATGTTAGTCTCCATGTAAACAATAGAAACTGCATGCTTAAACTCCGTCACCACCCTGCTCTTGAAGAAATACAGGTTGTCGATAAGCTTCGGGTTTTTCAACCCAAGGTCGGACTTCTTGTTAAGATCGACGAAGTTATCGATGTAGTGTTGCAGAGACAGATGAACGGCACGAGCGTCACTGAGAGCCTTATTCATGGCTTTCTTCTTCATGTCGATCATAATTTTCTGAGCATTCTGGCAATAAGCCACACGAGCCGCTTCCAGGTTCTTATCTGCTTCCTGACGAAGATCTTCAGTATTGCAAATGAAGTTAAACAGCTTGATACGAAAAGAATGGGGAATGATCCCGTTCTTCTTCTGCTCTTCCATGAAGTTGTATTGCTGGAACAAGGTCCGATATTTGGAGAAATGTTTCTTGAAATCGGCAAGAGCCTGACGCTCAAGCGTTTTAAGATAAGTCGGAGTAGCCTGCTTTTCCAGAAAAGAGGTGTTAAGTTCTCCGAAAAAATCAAGAGCATCTGACATGACAGTGTCGCTGATGTCCTGACCGTTACGAGTGTCTTGAAAATTTTGCACCGCTTCCTGTTGAGTAACCGTAGCCGTGACAAAGGTGGTAGTCATGGCGACAGGTGTAATGCATGGAACTTTAGTAGTCCCTGATTGCGGGGTCTGGAAGCCGAAGGAGATTCGAATGAAAAATCCTTCGAGCCGACCGGCTCTTCATTCTTGTGAGCACCCGTGTTGAAGTTCGCTGTCCTTCTCGAAGTTCTCAAGGGTATCGGAATTTCAGGAGCAGGGTCAGCATTGGTGTTGGTTGTTTTGGTTGCGTTGAATTTGAAGTCGGCCATCGTAGTTGTATCTTTCGTAAGTCCAATGGAGCCGCAGACTGGAGCCATGTTCTTTACATTGCAGCGACTGATTCAACTTTGTAAAAAAGTAGTAGTAGTTAAAATTTGTTTGCTTGGTTCTCTTGTAGAGAAATTTTGGCGGTAACCAGTTTCGGCTTATAGCCTTCTTCAGACAACAAGGGAAAATGAAGCAAACTAGAGCTAATATACTAATCCCGAGGGCTCCACGCAAGGCAGGCATGTGCTCGGAATGTGTGACATGCCGAGGCATTTATCCAACTCTGTGAACCGGCCTTGTGGCCATTTGCTTGTGCTCGGAATGTGTGGTGATGTCGTGATCCACCCTGAGCTACCTTGGTTTTGCTTGACTGGTCTTGTGACCATTTGTTCTCCCCCACTTTGCCTATGGGGGTGTGTCAGAACATTATGCTGTGTAGACTGTAGTGGGGCAGCCCACAAGGGGTACAACCCAATTTAGGGTTAGCATATGTACCAACACTCATCTCAGTTCCATCATCATTCTCCTAAGTTTCTAACAGCAAGAGCAACTGACTCGCGGGCGACTGAAGCAACGGTCTCACGGGCGACTGGCGCAACGGTCTCACGGGCGACTGGAGCTGCTGGCTTCACGGCGGCCACCCCCCTTCAACCTCCCCCATTTTCCCAAAACTCCCTTTCACACCCCTCGGCATCCCTACCGCCACTCTCTCGTCTCCCCCACATCCTCCCACCCCCACAGCGGCATGTGCGGCAGTGGGAGAGAGAAGAGGAGGGGCGGCAGCTGATTAATCACACCCGCCACCCCCATGCCCTCCCCCCCACTGCTGCACGCGCAGGAGGGAGATGGAGGAAAAGGGGGGGGGGTAGGAGCTGCGCGGGCGACGGCAGGGCGCGCGGGCGGGCAGAAACCGTCGCGCGTCCAAGGCGCGCGACGGGCACGAAATCGACGCACGCCCTAGGCGCGCGACGGGCAGAAAATCGACGCGTGCCCGAGGCGCGCGACGGGCAGAAGGGCGCATGAGCTGAAGCATACGGTGGGCCCAATGAAGAATAGGTCCTAGGAGGGACCTGCTCTGATAGAATGTCAGAATCCTAAGCGAGAATCTAGGACTTAGGTTTTGGGAAGGAGAGTAGGAATGATAGTAAAAGAAAGGTGGTTGCACTAGCAGGCATGCGAAGTACATAAAGGGAAACCCTAACAGGGTTGTACTCTCTGTTGAGTACCCCACTACAGCCTACACAGCAATATGCATTTTAACAAGTATGTGTGAGAAAGTTGGCAAGGAGATTAGAACAGAAATGTAGAACATGAGCTTAGTTTACAGCAGCAGATGAGATATAACCTGAGCAGGTGTAACCTAGAGATATATCTTCTGATGTATCGGCATGCTGCACCATTCAATTACTCCATACAAATCCTTGTTGCTGTCCGTCCCGACTGCTAGGTGGAGCTCTCTCACCCCGAGGTACAACCGCGGCTGCTGGGGGTGTTCCCTGACAAGCTATGCCAGGTCTTGCCACACACTGAGAAGATTGAGAACATTGATTCCCAGAACCATGCTGAATAGGTGAGCACACCAGCACAGCACATTGTTCTTATGACTTGTCTTTCACCAACACGTGGCTCACGTGTGTGGGGAAGGGGACTCCTGAATGTGTAGCACCTACTGTTCACATAAGCCCAAGTGATACAGTATCGATTGGTTTTAAAAAGGAAGTTTTGGTGTTCGATGATTCTTATATTACCTCCCGTCCATGAACCTACTTGTTCAACCTGAGTCATATACCTCAGCTGGTGTGTTTATTGTGATCCTTCCGTGAAACTGCTGGTTTCCCCTGCTGCTGGAGTCTTTCAGGGTTGTTGTGGGTTGATTGGAATGAGGTTACGGTCTCATGATTTTGAGTGTCTGGTATGTGTTTGCTAATTCCCACCAGCACTTAAAATCATGTGCTAGATTCCTCACCAGGTGATGGTGGATGGCAGACGATGATTCACTATTTGTACTAGTCTCTTACGCCTGACCTGACTGAACTTGTTTGCTGCTCATTTATGGCAGGTGCAGAGTCAGTGAGTGAGTGGTGGTGTTTGGGCAGCAGAGGGAAAGGCAGACGGGTGTGATGTGTGAAGGGTAACAACGGCTCCTAGCATCGAAGATTGTTCTAGTTATATTTGGGGGGTAGGGTAGTGCCTCAATACACAATTTAATAGTAGCATGCACAATCACGGTTGGGTAAAATAATTACTATCAGTTACTATGCTGTTCTCTTTAATAAAACACCTGGCATTTCTAGAAAATTCACTGTAAAATATCAGGGTGAATGGTTTTGAATAAGATCTTCGTACAACTTGGGTGAGTATGTCGACATCCTGGAGATGAGATGGTACTGACTACACCTCAACCTATCTCTGTAATCACCTACGGTAGAATTTCGTTACACCTACGCCACCAATACAAGCAGAACAAGCAGCGCGGGTAGATATATACTATTTATTATCCTGCCATTGGTATCTACTGCCCCTGCAAAACACAAACACAGTAAAGAAGCAACAAAAATTTAATAAAATATATGCAAAAAAAAAAAAAAAAACAAACAAACAAACAACTTAGCACCAAATTGCTGCAAAAGGTTTTGTGTGTTCTGAAGGTTCGTGGCATGATTTAGCAAGACAATTGTGCTGCAAAACAGAGCAGGGCTCCACACATGGGTGTTCCAAACCAGACGTACCCTTTGTCTTGGGTGTCGAGGATGGCTCGCCTGCAGACCAAACCGGAGGTGAAAGAGAAACACAGGTAAGGGAACACTCATTAATGCTTGTTCAGACCAAATGCACCCTCCACCCCTGGTGTCAATGATGGCTCATCTGCACAGAAAATTGTGGGAGAAAGAGAAACAAGAGTACCGTAATTCCCAGGAGTGCTTGATTACTCCTTCAGTAAAAAGATTCAACTGGAGGGCTGCATGGACAAAGCTTGTGGGGCATGACAGCAACCCATGACTCTCCTATCATCTGCACTCTCTCCTCTGCTTTCCTTTCCCCATCTCCATCCCAGACAAAAACACGTCCATGCATTTCTCAGAAACCGAGCACCCAGGTTGCACACATAGTACCTTCTGAGCCTTAGACTCTGACTAGATGGGTTACCCCCCGCTCACTCCTGGCTATATTGGAGTCACTATAAATTCTCGAATGTGACTCACCTGGGCCATGGCTGCTCCTGGGTGCTGTGGTGTTGGGTGTGGCAGGCACGGGGTTACGGTATGAGATGATGAGACCATGGGGGCGGGGAGCAGGGGGGTGGGGGAACCGAAAGTACAGGGATACGGAGAGCGGGGTGGAGGTTGCGGGGGGGGTGGGGTTGGGGGGGGGGGGGGAGAGGAGGGGAGGAACGGATGGAAGAGAGAGGAACATTGGGTCTACAGGGAGAGAGGGGGACCACAACGAAGAGGTAGTGGAATGCCATGAGGAAACAACTGCTAAAGGCTAGAACTTTATGAACTGAAGCATGCTATGCCAGCTCAGTGCATGGCGGCGGTGGTAACTGCATGTGTGGAAAGTGGAATCACATTCATGCGCTGTGATGCAAAGAGGAAGGGCAGGTGAGGGGGACAACAGGAAGCGCTAAGGCAGGAGAGGTGAAGGAAGCACCTTGTGGAAGTGGTGTCTGGAATAGCTCCTTGCCCGTGGAGCCTGCAGGTGTGGGTTGAAAGGAATCGATAGAGACGGACACAGACAGAGAGAATGACTAGGATATACTCCCCACTGCAAAGACAGCAAGGCTACTGACCAGAAGAAGAGACCTATGAGGGGTGGCATGACTCACAATTGAAGGGGTGCCAGCCGAACAGCCCTCTCTCCTCGTCCACGAGGATGTAGAAGTTCTTCAGCCAGGACTCTGGGGGTGTGTGATAAGGGTTGGGGGGTGAGGAAGAGGGGGAAGGAGAGGGGAGGGTGTTTATAAAGAGTGGAGAAGAGGAGGCAAGTAGCAGGACTGCCAAGATGAGGAGGGCTGTGCTCAAACAGATGAGCCAATGTTCGGCCCTGTGTACAATTGAAGGGGTGCCAGCCGAACAGCCCTCTCTCCTCGTCCATGAGGATGTAAAAGTTTTGCAGCCACGACTCTGAGGGTGAAGGGGGGGAAGGGGGAGGGCAGGTGAGAAGGAGCAAAGTTATGAAGATGGGGAGGCACGAGGGAGCACGACACCCCTCTCCCCTCGTCCATGAGGATGTAAAGTTCTGCAGCCACGATTCTGAGGGTGCGTGTGGGGGTGGAGAGAGGTGGGGGTTAAAGAAGGGTGGAGAATAGGAAAGAAGGGGCACATTCACGAGTCAATATAGGGAGGCATGCTCGCGCACGATAATCTAGGGTGTGTGATGAGGAGTGGGGGGGTGGGTGGGTGCCGGAATCGGGTATTATTCACGGGAGTGGAGGAGAGGAGCGAAGGAGCAGGATTGACAAGATGACGAGGAATGAGGGATGGATGAGGGAGGATAGGGTCAAGAGTCTACCCAGGCAACCGGAGCGCGTACCTCCAACGTACGCGCTGACTCAACCGGAGCGCGTACCTCCAATGACGGCAGAAACACGCGATGAAGACACGAATTGAGCAGGAGGAAACAGTAAACCAGCACAGGCACAAGGTACGGTGGGTGGGAAGGGAACAGACAGAGAAGCATGGCCATGAATGACCGACTGACATTGGTTCCCATAGCACGCACCTCCAATGATGGCGGGCAGACGAGTGGAAGGAACGATGGGGAGTGCAGCGAGGCACAGCAGCTCCATACCAGAGGTGGGGTCCATGCCCTGCAGAGGGAAGGGAAGGTGGTGAGGGGGAAAGTGGGGGGAAAGGGAGGGGGAAGGGGAAGGGGGGGAGGAGGATAAAAGGGGGGGCGGGTGGAGGAAGGGAAACGGAAGACAAGGAGAACGGGGAGAGAGAGGAAGATAGAGGGGATAAGGCAAGCACTGTGGAAGCGTGCTGGTGGATGGGACGGCGTGGGTGAGGGAATGAATGGGTACATACGGAGGAAGGGCAAGCAGTGGAGGGAGCTTAGCTGCTGAGCAGTTAAGAGAATGACACTTGCACACACAAACTTGACACTTGCTTGCTCTTTTGCTTCACTCTGCAAATTTCTTGAAATGCAGGGGACGGAAGGAGCACACAAACACCTACTCCCAGGTTTCATTCCTGGTCTGTAACTAAAGAATGTATAGGAATGTTGAGGCGCTCAAAAATATGGATGGAATGGACTCACCCCGAAGAAGAGGTAGTTGGTGGGCGGCACGGCCCAGGTCGTGTTGCCGAAGCTGATGAGGAGGTTCGGAAAGACCGAGTCAAAGAGGGTGGTGTTGCTGGCAGGTTAGGTGGAAACAGAGAAACAGGCAGGGAGAAGAAGTAGGGAGGATAAGGCAGTAGGCAAAACACAATGGTGGAATGATTTTTTCTTTATATGGACTGCTGATATCGAAAGGAAACAGATGCTTGAAGGATATGAATTGCAAAACAAACACCTCATGTTTTAATGGATACTTAAAAGTGAGTGCTGTGGGGGCACCTGGGAAAGAGGGTGCAATCCCCGAGGTCTGTCTTAGAAAAGTAAGAGAAATCTGGGTCGGAAAACACCTGCATGCGACAGGACACCAAGTCAGAGGGGGGAGCACAGTGAGTCCAGGAGTGAAGAGGAGAGGATGGTGGGTGGGGGAAACAAAAGATCTGCAAAGAAAGAGGAGGCGAGTTGACAAAAGGAAGCATCGCAGTGAAGGTGGTACTGCTGACCATACTGAGATACGTTCCTAAGCAAAGACTCCTCTTCCCGTCCATGCATACCACCAGATCACCATGCACCCATGCACCCACCGCATCCCACCGCAGCTCACCGCATCCCTTAGCGAGGTGTAGACGGCGGGCGGCAGCGCAGTGAAGGTGGTGCCGCTGTCGATTATGGTGCCGCCCGCCAGGCTGAACGCGTCCACTGCTGACAGCGAATCAGTGCCCGCCACCTGGCGGCCTCCGATGCTCATGCCACTGATGTTGATGTAGTGGAATGGGCTGGGGCGTCATGCATGCGATGCGAGGAATGCGGCAATGGAGGGGAATGGGGCCGAGCATCGCTCACATTCCCAAAATGCCTCAATCTACCACGTGAGTGCTGCTGACTTGATCGTCTACTTCCCAAAATGCCTCAATCTACCACGTCACGATCACTCACATTCCTGCCACATCAGCAGCTCTCACAGTCCATCCACGTCAGCAGCACTCACAGTCTATCCCTGTGCCACAGCGCTGCTGTCTGCATGTCTGCGGGTTGCTCCGACCGCCCAATGGCCAGGTGGCCTCCCCCCGTGTCCCCCCCGTCCAGGCAGAAGGCGAATGCGAGCGGCATTACCGCTTCCTGCTGCCCTGCTCCTGCTCCCGTGCCTGCTGCATCTGCTTCTGGTGTTGCTGCCGCTTGAGATGACGAATCCGTGGAGGAAGAAGGAGAGGAGGAGGAAAGCGAGGAGGAAGGAGAAGAGGAGAGCTGGTGGAAGACGGAGCGAGGGCCGGAGCCAAAGCCCATGAGGCCGTTCACTGAGATTGAGGGGTCGGGGCTGCGGATGAGTGAGCCAGCCTGCACCTGCACGAGGGAGGAGCAACTGGGGGAGAATAAGGGGAGAGGGGAACAAGGGGTGGCTTTCGGTGCATGAGGTGAAGCCCATAAGGCCGTCCACTGAGAAGGGGTTGCTGATGGGTGTGTCTGTCTGCACTGCAGGGACGAGCAGCTGGTGGGGGGAGGGGAGGGGTTGGGAGGAGGGAGTGGAGAGAGAGGAAGGGTTGAGAGTTGGTTTCAACTCAGAAGGGGTTGCTGATGATGAGTGTGCCTGTATGCAGTGATGCACAGCTGGTGAGGAAGGAGGGGGGAGGCGATGTTATGTGAAGGAGGGCTGGGATTTGACATCCGGGTCGAATCAAAGGGAGCTATCAATGATCATGCGATCATCACATCTCGTTTCACCATCACTCACCCAGTCAAAATGATGTCATGGTGTCATGTAGATTCTGTTGCACCATCCCATGTAACATCATGCCCATGTGCCATGCCATGTGGCATGACGTCACATAATACCATGTTGTGTCAAGTGATATCCATCACACCTGGTTGCACCATATTGCACCACTCACCCAAACAGCACTCGTGGGCTCACAACACTGCTCCCACTCCCTGCTGACCCCTCCAATGGCTGACCGCCACCTGGCACAGTGGACGCTGACGTGGCAGCTGTCACTCCACCCGCCCCCATTTGCATCACACTCAGGTTAATCACATCAGTCACCAGAGTCCCCTCCGTGTTGCCATCATCGTAATGTTTCACATACTGACACATGTCACTGGGAGAAGGCCAATCAGCAGCAGCCGGCACGGGCAGGGAGCCCATCAGAGAATCAGAGGCATTGGAGGAGGTTGAGAGCGGTAGAGGCTCTGGAGCCCCACTGGTGGGAGTGTTGGGCTGAGCAGAGCGGGAGATGGTGGAGGGGGTGCGGTTGAGGTTGGGAGCAACGCCACAGCCGATGTTGGGGCGGCCGGTGGGGCAGAGAGGGCTGTTGCAGGCCACGGGCTGTGCTGTGAGCGAGTTTTTTCGGGTTGTAGTAGGGGGCGCTCAGAGGCTGGTGGGGTGGGGGGATTGGAGGGGACAGAAGGAGAAGGGGTCAAGGGTTGGGGCGGCCGGTGGGGCACAGAGGGCTGCTGCAGGCAAGAAGCTGCGGTGTGAGGGAGTTTTCCGGGCAGTAAGGGTGCGTGTTGCTTCCAGAGCAAAGCAGGAATCGTCATGTGTAGTAACGGATTCTGATTGTTCTTACTATGGGTGTTTGTGCTTGCATCGAGTGTTTGTTCGTACAACAAGTGTTTGTTCTTACAGCGAGGGAGGAGTCGGTATCGCACTGGTTACAGTCACAGGGCACCCACATCATGTCACTGGTGGTCTCGAAGATCACTGGAAAGAAGGCCGCGGGCGAGGAGAGCGAAACGTTCAGATAGTACAGCCTGGGGCAGGGGCGGTGGGTTGGAATGGAAGCGGAAAAATGTACGGAAACGTTTGAGATGTGAGAGAGTAGGGTACCATCTGAGCAGCAGTCGCAGTCAGGGCAGTGCCGACGTTGGGGTGGTGCAGTGACGAGGGTGCGGTGGCGAAAGGGAGGAATGGGGGACGCAGTGAATGGATGCAGTGGTGCCGACTATTAAGTCGACTTAAAGCAAAGCTTGTCCCTGCCCGTGTCAACAATTATTGAGAAGGAGCGCGCAGGCGAGGAGAGCGACACGTTCAGATAGCAGAGGCCGAAGCAGGGGCGGTGGGGTGCGGAGGAGAGGGTTTGGAGAATCTTGAAAGGCGACTCACAAATCACCATGGAGAAGGGGCAAGCAGACGAAGAAAGGGACACGCTCAGAATGATGAAGAGGCAGGAGAGGGAAGAGTGAGAGGGGGGCGGGAGGGGGCGGACAGGGAGGGAAAAGAGGGGGGTGGACAGGGAGGCGGACAGGGAGGCAGGGAGAAGGAGAAGTGAGAGGGGGGCGGGAGCATGAAGGACAGGGTGGAGAAGCAAGGAGGGAAAGTTACGGAAGCGCAGAACATCCCACAGGTACTTGCGTCACTGCTGTGCATCCACCCAACCAACCCTGGACCACTGCTGCATGCCTTCCATCTCAAAAACGTGTAAGACTTCAAAGGCACAAGCTTGCAGACCCATCCCTCACATCACACCCCAGCCCACTGCCACTGCTGCTGCCACACCTTCATCTCCCTCCACACCGCACGCACGGCCAGCCATATTACCCATATCGAATGGTTTGGGCTTCCCCATATGGAGATGGAATGGTTTTGCCTCCCACATATGGAATGGTTTTGCCTCTCAGGTCGAACGCTGCAACGCCATTGGCATAGCCTGCTGCTGCGGCAGGCATCTCCTGCAATTTTCGCGCACCAGCCGAAGCAGCTGCTGCTGTTGAGGGCGGGGGGCGGCCAAAGGCCGTGTGCATGCGATGCAGGTCCCTCTGGCGCTGGCGCTTGTGGTATGTGGCATGCTGTGGGTAGGGGAGGCGGAGGGGGAGGGGGGGGGAGGGGGGGAGAGGGGAGAGGGGAAGGGGAAGGCACTGAGGACGGGGGGCGGCCAAAGGCCGTGTGGATGCGGTGCTGCAGGTCCCTCTGGCGCTGGCGCTTGTGGTATGTGGCATGCTGTGGTGGGGGAGAGGGGGAAAGGGGAAGGGGGGGATTGGAAGGACGAAGAACGGGGGACGGGAAAGGGAAGGGAGGAGGGTAAAGGGAAAAGAAGGGAAGGACAGAAGAGGAGTGGAGGAGAGACAGGAAAATGGAAATGGAACCAACTGTCAGGGAAAGTCACACACACATGACCTCTACAGCGCATCCACTGCAGAAGTGACTATGTTCTTCACAACAGTGGGCTGGATTGGTCCAAATGGCTTGATGTTCCCATCGCTCCCATCCTTTTACAAAGCAGCTGTGCAGTTTTCACGCGGTGAAGTTTGCTGACTGACACTAATACATTGACAAACGGATCAGCAACATTAACAAACGCTTGCAACAATGGAAGTCAAAGAAACGCGCTCACAGCAGTAGCGAGCATGTTTGGTTGATAGTACATGGGGCGCACGCACTCACATCATCATCACACCCATGCACAGCAGTATGGTGCATGAGAGCTGCCGTCAGCACATGCCCCGTCTCCCCCAGAAGCACCCTGCCCTGCGCGTGCTCCCTGTGCTGCCAGGGGGGCAGCCAGGTGGACGATGGTGAGGGGGATGGGCGGGGGAAGAGGCGCGCGAGGGACTGCAGAGAGGAGAGGGGGGCGAGTAAGAGGCGGACAGGAGCAATGCGGAAGGGCGCACGGGCGGAGGGGAGGGGGGGGAGGGCAGGGGTGGAGGAGAGGGGGATAGTATGGCAGGAGAGGTTAGAAGAGAAACACACTTGAGAGATTAATGACAAAAATTATGCGAGTAGCACTTTTGAGGTATTCAATGAGTGAACAAGGAGGACTGCACTGTAGATGAGTTACCAAGGAGGAGCGGGTGAGTGCGTGTAAGAGTCAGAATATGACAATTTTGATCACATGCGGCGGCGATTTGCTGCGATTTTGCTGCGATTTTGCTCACACGGGGAGGCACTTTTGCTCACATGAGTCTTACTTAAAAAACCTCCTGTCACAGGAGGGATTCACTCACTTGCGGAGGACGGCGCGAGAGATTAGAACGCTGTGACTGCAGAGAGGCCGCAGAGCCGACCGACACGAGCAGCAGCAACAGCGCGCCCAGCAGCGCAGGCAGCAGAGCGGACAGCAACGAGCACGGCGCTGCTGCGAGCACTCGTCTGCTGTGCAGCAGCGGAAGAATCAACATTCTCGGGGCGCGAGTCATCGCATTCGCAGCGACAGCCATTCCTCCAGCAAGTCTGTCTCGGCGCGCCTCTCGCGTGCTGCGTGCGATTCTCGAGCAGTTGCTAGCGCCCCACCCCACAGGAGCTTCGGATTCTTGAGATCTGTTATCCTAGTTTTTGGAGAAAATATTCCCCGAAAAATCCTTTCTGCTTTCCGCTGCCTTTCGGGATTACTATTTTGTAGTACAAACTCTCGCACTGTCGGAGAGCCGCGCTTGGTACCCCTCTTGACGAGAGGAGAGCGCATGCCAATCGGCTGACAAGCCGCGCGAAACGGGATGGAACGAATCGGCTGCAGATGCGAACGAACGCGCAGCTGCTCGCTCTCGCTCGCTGTTTCCATCCCGTCGCATGCCCGATCGGTGCAATCCGACGGCGGCGCGTGCGATTCGGAATGCGCGTGCGACGGGCTTCCGGTCCCGTGCGAGAGGCATCTGGACAAGCTTCGAGGCGGACGGGGAAGAAGGGAGGCAGATGGATGCAGGGAGGCGGGCAATAGAAATGACGTGTGCTAAGGGTTGGAAGGGACGGGAAGGGTACTACTGTCAACAACGCCTCAAGGTTGTTCAAGTAGGCCCTGTTCGGCAGACTTCTCTGGTGGAATCAGAGAAATTTGTTCCGGTATAATACGCTCCGTTTCAGCAAACGAGTAGCTTTTGTAGGTTGTGGTAGCAACGTTGTATATTTGGGAATCATAATCTCAAACGTGATTTCCCCTTTTTTCAAGTTCCAACATGCCAAGATTTGATGTCCTGTAATTTGCACATTTTATTTTTCTGCATCGACCTTGTCGATCTCCATCGGGTCGGCGATCATGGGGGGTGCCAATCGCTCCGCCCCAAAAAACATATTCGGTTGGTTATGTCGTGTTCCGTGGCTATTACGTTTCAACATGTCGGACCGTTCGGGTGCGCTGACGACCTGTCGGAAAATTTCGTTTTTTCAGCTCTGCGATGTAGGACTGGTTTTTTTTGTTACGATATGGAATAGTTGACTAACAGGCCCTCAGATTGGTTTGAGGGTATGCTGATGGATCAGCGTGCCCCTGCCAACCAGGTGTCCAAATCAGCGTTGGTGGTTTTCTTTATACTGATACTGTCAGTGTAAAACTTCTTACTAAACTGAACCTGCAGTGTAAAAATACAGTGCAAAATCTACCACTAACTAACTAGTAACTAGCTAGCTCATGCCATGTCATCATCAGAAGAAACGCTCGCATCATCACCACTGCTACTGGCATCATCATCATCACTCTCACTGCCATCGCCTGCAGAACCAGACATGCCCTCGTCTAGCTCCTCCTCCTCCACCTGCACCACCCGGCGGCCACTCCCCTTAACAAACTTGGCCTTGGCCCGCTCCCTCTCTGGCGCAGCTTGCTCCTTGCGCTTGCTGGGGCGCCTTTTCCTGCTGCTCCGCCAGATGTCCACCACCTTATCCCACTCCATGTCGTAGTCGAGCAGACTCATTGCCATCAAATCTCCCAGCTTGGCGTTGCAGAGACTCGTCCGGCGCCACGACTTGATCACATTCTGGCGGGAAAACCCGCGCTCGCACTCGACTGTGCTGAGCGGCAGAACAGCGATGGCAGCCCACAGACGGACTAAGTTGGGGTAGCTGGTCTGCCAGTCGCTGGTCTGCAAGATGGCCTTCAAACCTGCGTGAAAGGGCTGCTCTTCTTGGGGGCAGTGGAGAGCACCGGCAGGAACGTGCGCAGCTCCGCTCGTGCTGCACGCTTCTGGACACCTGCCAAACGGGAGAGCACAACCGGGTGGAAAGTCAAGCTCTCAACATGGGAATAACACAACCACGGAAACGGCAACGCATACACGCAGGCCAGTGGGGTTCTGTTTCTAGCTCACCTGGCAAGATCGTGTCCCGGTTCTTGGCCTGGAACAGATGGACGAGGCCGTGCAGGTGCTCCTTGCACTCTGCGTCTCTTGCCTCGGCGCCCCTAGGCCACGAGCGGGGCATGAAGAGCTTCGCCCCGTTCAAGCGCGTCAGGTCTCCCAAGCGCAGCTCGAGGTTGTACACCAGCTCGCGGGCGAATGAGCGGCAGCAGGTGTAGCAGCCTTGCATGTCCCCGCTGCTGGTGGTGTATCCCTTCACAGCCTCCTCGTGCAGCTGGAATGTGTGTACCCGGGGCTGACCCTCCTTGTCCACCCCCTCCACAGTCACTTCACGGCAGTCGGGGGAGGCGTGCCGCGCGAGGAATGCAGACAGCAGCTCGCTGGTCCCACCGCCAAACTGCTGGCCACAGTTCAGGTACCGCTGCTCCATGTAGATGATGGTCCGCCTCACCTGGGAGTGCACTGCAGTGAGGTCAACCTGTTGGTAGTGGGAGAATAGGTACAGCGAAACAAAAGATAAGTATCTGGGAGAATAAGAGAAGTGCACAACGTAACTCAACACCTCCCCTGACGCTTCTGGAATAGCAGGTTGAGCGCGTTGAGTGCCGTGTGCACATCTGCCAAGAAGAACAGGAAGTAATGAAACTTGAACGACGTCACCAAGTGGTACATCGTCTTGTCCGTCTCCTCGAGCATAACGATGACAGCCGGCAGAACGCGGACGAATCGGGCGATTGCATCGCCGCGACTCAACCACCGGACGGAATGAATCCCCTGGACCTCGAGGTTGGTATGCGTGAACACCTCCTGCAGCTCCTTGAACTTGCGGTTGTAGTTGCTGGATCTGCCGAGATCTTCCGCCAATGCGCGGACAACCGCGTCGATTATGCCAAGCTCGGGTAGTGCCTTAGCCGCCTCCTTTGCAGCAAGCGCTTCCCTGCCACGGGTAGAAAAGCAGAGGTGGGGGTGTTAGCATTCGCACTGCGACATACCACGTTGCACATCTCACACCGCTACAACACCACCACCGCTCCCAGTTTACCTGTGTGCGATGCAGTGAGAAGCCACCACGTGCGGGATCTCCAGTCGAAGACGCCCAACGAGGCCCGTGTCGTTGCCTATCATCACAGGCGCCCCATCGGTGCTGATACCCGCTACCTTCTCCAGCGGCAGGCTGATACTGTCAAGGAAGGACGTGAGCTTAGAAAAAAGAGATGCCGCATCACACTTCTCGATGGAGAGGTTAGTCAGAAACTCTGTGGTGACGGCATGCTCACGCAGAAAGGTTACAAACACAATCATGTGCTTGCCTTTGACACGGTCCGTACTCTCGTCGCAGCTCAGACCAATGAATGGACTCGAATCGATGAATTCTCTCTGGCGCGCACGAAGGTATGTCGCTATTGCAGCGGTGATCTCCTCGAATCCGTACCTGCACGGGCATCAACGCGTGTGGTTAGTGAGAGCTTCACGTATATCACAACATGCGCCGATATGTACAAGAGCAGTGTCACTTACGTCGTGTAGTAGGCACCATCACTGCTCTTTGGGAAGCCCGGCGTGCCACGCTGCGCTAGATGTTGGACGAGGTCCACGTACATCTCGATCGGGGCGTCGGACTTAGCGATGAAGAGTGCCGTCTGAAATAGCGTGAGCAGGCGCTCCTTCTCCACGTCTTTCACCTTCGGGTTGTCGTCAATCCGGCGGTTAGCTTTGAGAGCCGCCTCGGCTGTCTTCTGTCTGCGCACGGCGCGGCGGTGCTTCCTTGTGCGCTGATGCTTCCGCATTGCCTGGGTCTGCACATCGGTCGCCCCTTCTCCTTTGGCGCCGAAGTTCGTGCCCGTACCGGCGTGCGCGATGCAGATCGAGCACTTGATTGACGGGAACCCTGCACTATTCTGAAGCAGAACAAGCCACGGGTAGTCGTCAGACCATTGTTTGTTGTACATTAATAAGGCTTCTTGGTATTTCTCCTCGGCAATGTCGGGCAGTTCTGTATCGGAAGTAACCTCAACCGCTTTACGCTGTCGGGCCTTCGGGGAAGAGTTCCCCACACCGGACGTGTTATAGTCACAGTAGGCTCCAATGTGCCTAAAACGAAAGATAGAGTGCACAGCCGGATTTCTGCACAGCGGCTTCAAACGTTCATAGCGTTCTGGTCACGGCTTCAAATGACCTGATTCAAATTGGATCTGGAGCGTCTTCACGTCGTCTACAATTATCAATTTAGATTGCACGATTTGATAAAGAATTGACGACACAGCGTCGGTTTGAACGAACGGTACTATGGCAGCCACTATAGTCTTAGAACACAAGATAGGAAGAGTTACGAGTTGGGAATGACTCCCAGCTCCTACAAACCCCAAGAGCCGAGGTACAGTGATGTGGAACAGTGCCACACTGTCCCCAACCACGAAGGGTCTCGAAACTACCCTTCACTAGGGCCTACACCAAGTGAAATGTTACACTACACAAAGTAATGTAACTATCTTCAATATCTTGAGGTGTACCCTTTTTGCGAGCTTCGAAATCACTTGAGGCTTGACACCAAGGCTCGGGCTCTTCATCACAAACTCATCCTTGAGTTCTTGATGGGTCTGCTGCACACACCTGCGACACGCCGAACGTTCGACACAGGACAAAATAGAAACCGCGCACGACAAAATAGAAATCGCGCGCGAGACACAAACGACCGCGTAACACGCGTCTAGCGATAACTCGCTATTGACTCGACACACACACTCGACATCATGACTCAACATTCACACACAATTATAAGCATGAAATATATATTATCCCATGCCCTCATACCATTCCATACACACACACATTCACGCACACGGACAACAAGCCGAGTGCAAACCGTAGGGTTGCACCAACAAACCCCCCCTCGGATTGTTGGCCTTAGGATATGTTGCTCTCTCAGTTCAGAGCCATCCCAGCCAGCTTGCAACACTTCCAATGCTGCTGCTCCACCAGCCTCTTGGTCATCATGTCAGCCGGCTGCCCCGTGGTCTTCACGTAGCGCAACTCAACTTCACCCGCGGTTACCATGCTCCTCGTCCAATGCCACTTCACCCTCATGTGCTTCGTGAGTCCATGCAACACAGGGTTCTTAGCAAGAGCAATGGCACCCTGGCTGTCACAGTACAGTGGGGTAGGTCCTTGCTGCTCCTCCCCCAATTCAGCCAACAAACGCCGCTGCCACACAATCTCCCGTACGGCACGGAAGAGTGCCATGTACTCGGACTCTACCGAGCTCAAAGCTTGGTCAACCTGCTTCTTGCTCTCCCAAGCAGTTGGGCCTCCACCAACACAGCATATGAAGCCTCCCACACTTGTCATGTCCTCTGGTTCTGATGCATATGAAGCATCCGAGTAGGCGGTGAGGAACAAACGCCCGGGTTCAACACCATCCGCGCCCTTTTGGCGCCTTTGTGCCGCCGCCGAGTATTGCAGCCCAACGGTCGGTGTTTGGCCAAGATACTTGGCCACCCTCATTCCAGCTGCTACCTGCTCCTCATTAGGGCATTGCACAACCCTAGCCAGCTGCCCGGTAGCAAACGCGACGTCCGGTCGGGTGTTTACCGCCGCATACATGAGGCTGCCCACCAACGAGTGAAATCGGCGCCTCTCCTCTTCACCAACGCTCTCCTCCTCTGGTCCCTTCACACACTTGAACCCAGAGGGAAAGGGTGTAGCCACATGGCCTTCACTCTGCCCAAAGTTGGCAGCCAATGCCTCCAGGTACTTTCGTTGATGCACCCGCATGCACCGCTTCTCCACGTCTCGTTCGATGTGGAGCCCAAGGTAGACGCTCACGTCACCAAGGGCCTTGCACTTGAACTTGTCTTGAAGCTTCAGCATCACCTCCTTCACAAGGTCAGAAGAGGGTGAGAAAATGAGGATGTCATCCACATAAACCACCATGAAACTCCTCTGCTCCCCCTCGCCAAGCATGAACAAGGAGTGATCGGCCGTTGAGGGAGTGAAGCCGATCCCCTCCAACACTTCGCGCAGCTTCATGTACCATTGCCTAGGGGCCTGCTTCAGCCCATAGAGGGCCTTCTTCAGCTTCCACACTCTGCCACTACCATCATCAAACCCCTCTGGCTGCGCCATAAATATCTCCTCCTCAAGGATGCCGTTAAGGAATGCCGTTACGATGTCCATTTGCTTTACTACCCATCCTTTGATGGCGGCTCCCGCGAATAGGGTTCGCAGCGTCGGCGGCTTCACCACAGGGGCAAACAGCTCCTTGAAGTCCACCTTCTCCTTCTGCTGGTACCCCTTGGCTACAAGCCTAGACTTGTAGCGCTCGATCTTGCCGTCGGCATCCGACTTGATTTTGAAGAGCCACTTGGACGTTATTGCCGTACGCCCCTCCGGTAGCTCCACCAATTCAAACGTGTCATTCTCCTCGATGCTCTTCAGCTCACTCTCCATGGCCTTCTTCCACTCCTCAGCATCACTACTCTCCAAAGCCTCCTTGAGAGTTGCTGGTTCTCCCGGCATCTCCACCGGAGAGAAGAACGCGAAGGCACACTCCTCGTAGTCACTCTCCTCGTCGTCTCCGACCATCATTGCCGCTCCGGCCAGGGCTGTCTTGCCCTGCTTTCCCGGCGCATCATAGGTCAGCCTATTAGGGGGTTGAACTCTCCTCTTCCCCCTTCCTTCCTCCTCAGCTGCAGGGACTTGAAGGCCTTGGCGTTGCTGCGGTGTGGCTCGAATCCGTGGAGCACTCGTAGTACGGGAAGGGAGTGACGGTGCACGCTCGCTCACTTGCTGCACCTCCTCCTCTTCTTCCTCTGCATCATTGGCCTCCTCTCCCCCATTCACAAGGGAGGATTGCCTTGTGGTTGTGCTGCCGCTGCTCAGTTCCAAAGGCAGCTCCACATGCTCCAAACCGGAACTCTTCACCTCCCCAAACCGCACGCCTATCTTCGCCTCATTCTCCGCCTTCCAATCCTTGTACATGAAGTTCTCCATGAACTTGCAGTCCCTGCTCACCAAGAACTTCTTGGTGAATGGGTCCCAAAGAAGCCATCCCTTGCTGTTTTGAGCCATGCCCAAGTGCACGGCCCACACCGCCTTGGCACCAAGCTTGTTGTGCCGAAGATGCTTAGGCACGAGCGCCATGCACATGCACCCGAACACCCGAAGCATATCCACCTTTGGCTTCCTTCCTAGCCACTCCACATAGGGCACCCATTTGTCTGCTCCCACATGAGTCAAGGCTCTGTTCTTGGCCACACACGCGCTCCGCACCGCATCAGGCCAGAAATAGTCGGGTAGCCCGGCTTCAATGAGCAACCCGCGTGCCGCCTCCGTGATTGTGAGGTTCGCTCGCTCAGCGATGCCGTTCATTGCAGGGGAGTATGGCATGGTGAGGGAGTGCCGAATACCATTCTTCTTCAGCCACAACCCAAACTCCTTGCTCAGGAACTCTCCCCCTCGATCGGTGCGGATTGACTTGACTAGACGGTCTTGTTGCCGCTCCACCATCGGAAACCAATCCGTCTTCAACGTTTCAGCCACGTCGCTCTTCTTGGCCAGCACGTACACCCAAGTCATGCGGGTGTAGACGTCGACAATGGTGAGAAAATACTCAGCTCCAGCAGCTCCAAGCTTCAGGGGGCCCACCACGTCCATCACCACCTCATCAAGCGGTGCCTTTGCCGTTGCCTCCGAACTAGGGAACGGAAACCGGGTGAACTTGGCTTGAATGCACGTCGGGCAGCCAAGCACCTCATCGGGCTCCCCCTTCACACGTATGCCAGCAACCATCTCATTCTTCACTAGCTGCTGCAAGATGGGCAGGGCCACATGCCCCATGCGCCGATGCAAGGTGAGCCAATCACACTCCCCCGTAGCCGAAGTTGGATTGGAGAATGCCGCGCTCGCAATAGCGCCCCACATACTCTCTCCGTAGTCCTCCTCCGCTGCTGCCTCTGGGTTCTCCTCACCCTTTTGCTGCTCCTTGGTTGCTGCACCACTCTCCTTAGGTTCACTAAACTTGCTGGTCCCTCCAAATTTGCTCTTCTTGAGCTCATTCTCCTTAGCGCAACCGTTCGCGCCATCGTCGCTACCGATCGCTCCATCCTTGGTGCTGATGCTTGCTGCCACTTGCCTCCCCTTAGGCATAGGGACCACTGGGATCTGCCACATCTCGTTGTAGACATCCCTGTCCTCATGAAGGTCCCAAAGAATTCGATCGCCAAGCCTTGCGGTGTAGGTCTTGGCTCCCTTCGAGTTCGTGTCCATGCCGGCCTTTGCCAACCGCCGCACGGAAATCAGGTTCGCAGCAAGGCTGGGCACCCAAAGCACGTTCTTGAGGCCCACCATCTTCCCATCAGCACCCTTGAACATGGCCTTGCCCATGCCTTTCACCTCTGCTCGCTGCCCCAAAGCCGATGTGACATGCTTCACCGGTGACGGCTCGAGTTCGGTGAGCAAGTCCGGGCGAGGTGTCATGCTATAGGTAGCGCCACTATCAATCACCCAATAGTCCAGGGGGTGTAGGGTCACCTTCCCCACAGCTGCTGGCTCCTCAAAGCCTTCATCCTTCTCTGGACCAGCCGGTACTTGCGTCGACACGAAGTAGAATAGACCCGGGTATCGATCGTCGCTCGGGTCCTTGTCGTTGTCTCCGCTCTTCATGTTTGCAGCTCCGCCACCGCGACCGCCACGGCCTCCACGGCCTCGTCCTCTCCCTCCTCCTGCTCCTCTACCCTCTTGGCCTTGAGCAGGGGTCCAACCATCAGGGAGTTTGTAGCAGTCGCGCCAC